GAACACCTGCTGTTCTAAATTCGGCACATTTGACAGTTGAATCTAATCACATACAACTGAATAAAATAACTCATGCTTCACAGAAAGTCTAAAAAAACCCACAGCGATTCGCTCTTTCCCATGGACCAAGCATTATATGTTTTCACCACGGCCACATATATTGAGTATATTTCAGACTATATATTAGGATAATTACAAGATATATGCAAACTTCATTACCGACTAAACAACCTGGACAATTGACTAGTTTTGTCGAAGGTTCGCAGTCTCCACATCAATTGATAGCGGCAAAGAGTTTTCAAAGAAAGCTCTTTGCCGCTCAAAGAACATAGCACTTCCAATATTTCTTGCTTTACCATTTCAGAACGTCCGTTTCATTCGACCAAAAATGGTGCAGAAGGAGTCTGTCTTCAATGTACTTTTCTATATCCGGCTACTTCATGTGATCAGGTGTTCAACTTCTAAAAATTCTCTAAAGATCGAGTTCCGCATGGCGTGCGTAGGGTTTCGCTCGCATGCTCGGTAGACAAAGTGTCCTCTCTTGTGTTGTCCGAAAATTGTTGTCGCTAGCAATACATTCCCTTTGAGAATATTGAAATCAATGTAATCAAAGCCACTAAGACGCATCAGGGAACGAAATTGCCAAGCATCCCACAGCCATGGCCGCGCTGCTCCTGTCACTGGCATGACTTGTCGGTAATACTCAAAGCCCAAGACAGTTTGTTGTCAACGTGCCAACGCTTATTAAACTATTTTAGACACGGCCAAATGCCATTCCAGAACAAAAGCAATGCCAAGATAATGCCTCAAATTAGGAAAATATTGAACTCACGTTTGAATTGCTTCAGATGGGGTTTCATCATGGTACGTCACCGTGGCTAAAGGTGTCGCCAGGAATATCCAGATTAAAGGTTAAGGTTATTAAGCCAAAGGTATGATAGAAGGAATGACCGTCATTCAGCTTTTCACCAAACGTGATATAACATCGAGGCCCCACGTCAACTGACGTACATTTAACGATGATTACCACTGCAATATGCTGTCATTCACGAAGCTCCACAGCCTGCAGCTCGGGCCATGGCGTCATCATCGGCGATGATGATTGTTGTGTGTGTGTGTGTGTGTGTGTGTGTGTGTGTGTGTGTGTGTGTGTGGTGGTGTGTGTGGTGTGTTTGTGTGTGTGTGTGTGTGTTGTGTGGTGTGTGTGTGTTGGTGTGTGTGTGTGTGTGTGTGTGTGTGTGTGTGTGTGTGTGTGTGGTGTGTGTGTGTGTGTGCTGGTGTGTGTGTCGTGTGGTGTGGTGTGTATGTGGCGTGTGTGCGGTGGTGTATGTGTGGTGTCATAGGGGCTGTACGACGCACTCTGATGGGCGCAAAATACCCCTAGAAGTCGACGCGCCCTAAAAAACCCAATCATCATCACGACACACTCTTGTTACTGCGGCTATATGGCGTTCACCTGCCTCCCGTCCTGGCAGGAAGGGCGGGGTACCGCAGGGGAAATCGAAGTCCGTATCTCAGGTCCCCCAGGCGCGCAGCTTAACCAAAATGTTCAACTGCCACGCGTGTACCATGGCCGATTTTCCCGCAAATACCAGTGGATTTTTTTCTGCTTCCGAGAAGAGCAAACGTTCACCAAGATTTAAACGATTGAATTGGGAGTCCGGTGAAGCAAACCCACACATCTACTAAATGGCTTTCTATTTTTGACAGAATGAGGCTCCTGGGCGGTTAACCCAATCAAACTCGCCCATAAATCAAAATTCCGATCTCGGCAGTCGCCGAACACCGATCGAACAGGACAAGTGAAGCTGCTCACGGAGGGAGGCGCTACACGCGGCTTGAGAGCCGCCCCAGCATCGTGTCATCCATCACTTTGCAGGGACCTGTTCACAAGCCGGGTTGTCCATGGCGCCATCCAAGGGCAAAAATTCGTTACGTGTTGTTGCCCACACTAGCATGCTTTCAGCCAGATTTCGTGGAACAGTAAAAAAGACAATGCACGGTTGACTTCAAACTCTAAATGTACTTCCGATATTATGCTATATTTTATCACCAATATTGTGAAATCTTCAGCACTTAGACTTTTCGACGAAGGTGAAGTCATATCTTGGCTCCGTTAGTTTTTCCGGGAGAGCTGCGAACTACTTGTGTCATTACCGTGAGGGTGGACATTACTCTCTCAACCACAACAGTTTGCCGCAATTCCTTAACTGCAGCTCTCTGAATTGATCACAAGTGACCATTATCAGATTTTCCGTAGGTGTGTAAACGGCGCGCCATCTGTTTCTGACCCGACGACACGTGAATTCGTTCGGCAATCCCTCACATTGCCGTTCCCTTGATAAACGACAGTTTTTACCGGGATATGTGTATAAATATATACCCACATACGCACACACACACCATATACCAACACACAAACATACATGCAGTATATATATATAATATATATATATACATACCACACCCACACATTATATATATATATATATATATAATATATATATATATACATAATATATATATATATATATATATATAACATATAAAACGTATGCATATAATCGGCGTCATTTTGAGATGGCTTACGCTTAAGAATGACATCTTACTCCAAGTAGTGACATAGGAGTCAACTTATATTAAGTTATCTAAGCCTCTGAGTGCTTCCAATGATTCATAAAGCCTTTGCGCCAATGTGAAGTCATAACTTCAAAAGTTTTGGTCGGCAATTTCAGATGTCTCCATTCAGATAAATGTCTTCCTTTTACATTCTTACACATTGGGACGATAACGTGGCAAACAAAATGGGGTTGGAAGATAATCGGATTTGTTCTTGGACGAGTCCGTGGTTTAGGCGATTGACTGTTATCTGTTGTTCGAACATGCATGGGTATTTGGCCTCGTGCTCGCCATTTTTGAGTCATCCAAAACATGTCAACATGTTGATTTTGAGTCATCCAAAACATGTCAACATGTTGATTTTGCCGCGCTCGGTCCAAAGACCCACGGTTGAAAATACAGAGGCAAACGTCACAGAAGTCACACTCCTGCCGTCCCCGCCCGTTAAGCCTCCTGGCACTCTACATAAGCAGAGCCGACAGAGCCGGAAACGTACTCAGTCCGTGGAGCAGGTCAGTATTGGGTGCGGCGGGATGATCGGAGAAGGCTACCGCCCAGTGACGTGGGCTCAAGTGGCGGGCTGTCACACCAGAGAGCTGCGAGCGACAGTGTTCATGCCCGGCCGCGTTACGGGGGTCGAGGGGTGTGCGGCAACTGGGCTTCCCTCGTGTGTTGCTGGCGTTTCTCGCTGTTTATGTTGAAGAAGGACACAAGCGGCGCCGACTCGTCACTAGTTTAATCGCGGCCGAGGTGCGTTTTACGTGACACTGACAGACAGCCTGCCAGTTTGATGTAACTAAGTTCAGTCCGTTTGCTCACTTAACGCGGGCGCCCTGCGGCCTCTGGCTCGGTGGTCTGTTTACCTTCCGTTCAATGTCGTCTGCATCGCGGTGGTTCTTTATAACGTAAACTGTGTCCTGTCTGAGTCGTGCCACGACTTACATGGTTCGTTTACGTGTTATAGAGTAGGAGTTGTCCTCTGGGACGTATCACTGCACGTCTATGACATGCGGTTGTTACACTTAACTGCAATCTACAGCCCCGCCGATATGTTTGTCTCTGGCGTCGAAATGCTACCTGTTGCTCGTGTCACGCGGTTGGTCTGTGCGTGGCATGCTGCTATGATATTTTCCGAGGTGAGTTATTGTTCCAGTGTAGCTGGGGTCTACTGGAGTCTGCACGTTACCGAGGTCTACTGGCCGTGTCATCATCGCTGCCTGTCGGTCTGTGATGCGCCGCTGGGACCTGGTGTCTATGGCCCACGTCGATGCCGCGCATGCGTGCTGCTGTATGTCATCTTCTGCTCAATACATGTCACTTAAGCCTGACGTTCCTGATACGAACTCCTATCAGATTGGTCACCGGTGCTGCCGCTGGCTGACTCCCCCCTTGGCTTGACCCGGCCAGTCCCGATCGGTGCCTCTATGGCCGACCTCCACTGGCTTAGCCCCCGTCTTGCAGCCCCGCCGATCCCCGCGGCCGGGCCCGAGCCGCCGGCATGGGAGCCGGGGCGAGCCGGAATAGGCCACCGGCCTGGAGGCGACGCTCCATTCTGGCGCCGCCGCCGCCTCCGCTGCCCAAGGACCCCCGCATGCCGCTCACCATCCGCCAGAAGTTCAACATTGTCAAGTCCTGGAAGGGCATCAGCCGCGCCATGGAGCCCACCGGCGTCTACATGTTCGTCAAGTACGTGACTGGGCGCAGTGGGTGCACTGACGCGACCCGCGATGAAGACTTAACTCCGCCGGGTGACCGTGAGTGAGTTGGTAAGGAGCTGGTGCAGCCGCGAATGCGCCCCCTTGCTTCATCAGCTTTGCAAAACTTTTCCATTGCCATTAAGTCTATGGCGCAGTACGACAAGAATGAATCCGAGACTGCTCTTGCCCACGCAGCTCTTTGGAACGTCGTTGAACAACAGTGTAATCTTATGCATCGCAACAGTTCCTCGAATAATTTCCAGCCCTGTTACTAAGGCCGGCGTGCTTTTAACAAGACCCGCTTGTCAGCAAAAACGCAGCTGGATGAGTGCTCAACGACTTCCGATGCCCGCTTCCGAAACTGCTCCATTTGGTGGCACAAGTGAAGCTGCAGTAGGCCTGGCTAAAGTGGTCTTCTTTCGAGGTCTTTTAGATTACGTCCGATTCATTTTATAGCATGGCATTTCAGACTAGATTCTTGCATCATGGCTGGAGATTTGTCTGCACCAATGGAACAATTCAAGGCCTTGGAAGCTTTAAGAGTTAAGTTGTGGGATAACAACTTTGCACATGATGAATGACATCTTCGCCAGTGGGGGATCTTCTTTGTGTTTATTGGCTCAATTCAACAACCTGAATTTGAAACACAATTATCTGCTCATCAAGCTGAGGTTCAAGAATGTCGTCAAAAAGATGAGCGTGAAAGGGAGTGTTCCAAATTTGTATAGCGCTTTTAGCTCAATTAGTCATTTTGAAGATCATTTCATGCACTTCACAGCCCCGCCCTTTTTAAGACCTAACATTCTCTAGCTTTTGAGCTACACGCCCGTTAAGATGTGCAAACTATTTCGTGTAGACTATTTCAAGACCAGTTATGCATGCATGACGCCATGGCAACATCATTTAAATTATCTCACCCCATGGGCCAGACGACGTTCAAAGCCAGGAAGAATGTCATCATCCAGCCGTTCAGGTCTGGCGTCCGTGAGAGCAATTTTCAAACATGGTTGACGTCAGCTGGCTCTCAAACAAGGTTGAGAAAACTGTGGGAAATTAAACCACGAATCAGTTGTTGTGCTACATTATATTAGAAGCTGGGCGTCGTTTCTTCACTCGCTAGTTATCACGAAAACAAGACTTGCAATCAAATAATGTAAGAATAACGCCGTAGCCGAGTATGCGAATACAAGCAAACACCTTAGACTCACTGAGTAATATGCGAGAACACCATGAGAAGTGCCAAAAAATGAGCACATAACGATATTTGGCGCAGCCAACACTTCCCACACCACCACTATAATCTCTTGGCGAGAAGTACCACAATAACTGTTAGGGTAGCAATTTCGCACGGCTAGTTTGGCAGCGCATCAACATCATAAAAAATGTTTCTGGTTAAAATCAAGCAGCGCCATATTGAGAAGCATGTTTACCAACTAGATGAATTTGTCTGTTTAATGTAGTCTTCTCCACTCAAAAGTGTGCCAAATGATGAAAATAAGCACGTTTCTTTATGTTTGCTTCCTGCTTTGCTTCAGACAGTTTGCTCTTCACGTGAAGAATATTTCCTTGGAAGGGAGATTTCCACATTTGTATGGGGTTTTGAACCGAAATAGCCATCTTGAAGGCCATTCGGTGCAGTTCGGAGGCCTACCCTTCTCAAGTCCTTAACCTCTCTGGTTTCTTAGCTACACGCGCGCGAAGATGTGCATATTTTTCGGGGAGACTACTTTAAGGTCACCCACGCATCCCTGCCGCCATAATAACGCTATTTAAATCCTGTCATTCCACGGGGTATGCACCGATCAATGCTAAAATATATAATTGTCAAGTCGTTCATGTCTGGCGTTCATGAACACCACCACCAGATGTACGAGCCGTCAACTGACTCTCAATTTATGTTGTGCTAGGTACGACGAAGCATTCAAACAGTGACGTACTGAGGAGCATGTTTACTAAACATACAGTTGTGTTGTCTAAAGCAGTCTGTTTCACTTAAAAATATATCAATAGTTCTCAGTGAGCTTTTTTCATCATATCGAATGCTCTCTTCAATATTTTCAGATGTGGGGCATTCCACTTAACTGGCCACAGGTACGCCAGAGGAGAACCTGTTGGCGATGCTGCTATTGACCGCTGGATGGAATGAAAGCTTAAAGTAGCGTTTGAAGCCAGGCTTCCCCACACCAGCATTTTTAGCACTGACCTTTGCGATCCGTGGCTCTGCTGCATCACAAATCACTGCCCATCATCGATCCGAACCCATCGCCCGCACAAACCTCCACTTTTTCGTGGCCCCGGTCTTAGGAGCGATCTTCTCTTCCGCACTCACGATAAGCAAATAGGATTTATTTAATAGGTCGGGCATGCCCTGGATTCCATGCCGGTGAATGCAAATAAACGACCGTTGTAGAAAATAGCAGACATGCTCAAGCCCACCTAATATAAATGTTGAGCGTACTTGACGACATGGCATATAACCATTTCCAGCAACAGGTCGGGCTGCTTTCGAAGTGTCTTCGCCCCGCTCGCCCGGGCAGGCTAAAAAACAACATCCGTCGGTTGCCCTTATTTTCAAAATGCAAACTTCATCCTCACCCTTCCATCCAACCATTGGTTTGATTAAATCATGTCACCGATAGCTCGCGCAGAGGCAGGATGGCGCAGGCCGTGCGGGCTGTGCAATCAGAGGCGCGGTACTAACGGACAATCACCGCATCGATCTCCCCGCGTCGGCCTTCTGCGCTCTTCTCAGGCGTATAGCGTTATCTGGACGGGATAGACCACGACATTTCCGTAAGACAACCAATGCAAACTAAGTTCCAAACGTTGCATTCTGTTCCACCCTTGTATTTCCTGTGGAGGAGTTCAATGAGTGAAGAGTTTGCCTTTGTTGTGGGCCTTGGGCGAAAATATGCAAATGCTAGTCTGAGCCAGAGTAACAATATCTTAGCTCCAAGTGTCGAGCGTTGGGAAAGGGTGTGGATATAGCGGCAGCACACCCGGGCTCGTGCAGCTTTTACACCGGTCTGACTTCCACTGCCAAGTGCGCTAGGCTCAAGATGCGGTATTGGATCCCATACCCGGCTCTCGCGACCGTCAGGGAGTATTTCAGTGATAGAGTAATGAGCGGAAAGGACTCACGGACTCTCAACGTACCGGCCTAAAGAACTGTCAGCGTCTCGAGCTGAATGTGAACAGTTGGTATCTTTGACCCTTTCCGAGAACTGAATGCGGCCGTTGATCCGCATCACTCAAATCCAGTCGCTTCTAACAATATAAGACCACATATAGTGCCTGCTGCGCAGGAGCCTTCCATACTCTGCGCCTTGCCACCAACAGGCGATTTTTGCGCATGCGCGAGAGCGCTTGTTGAAGCAACAGCGGCATGTCGGGCTCCTACGCACGCTGTATAAGTCGGTAGTGCGACCTTTTGTGTGCGACTTTTGTGTAGATGCTAGTACGACTTTCCATTCTCCTGCTGCCCCCCCCCCCCCACACCCCCTCCCTCCCGTCTCCCGCAGACTGTTCGAGGACCACGCCGAGCTCATCAACTTCTTCGAGAAGTTTCGAGAGCTGCGTAATCGCGACGCGCAGGCTGAGAGCCTGGAGCTGGCCGAGCACGCCTCTATCGTCATGAACTCGCTGGACGAGGGCATCAAGGCGCTTGAGGACATGGACTACTTCTTCACGCTCCTGCATCAGATAGGCGGCGCTCACACTAAGGTGCCCGGCTTCAAGAAGGAGTTCTTCTGGGTGAGTGGCCACAGGCTCAGTGTTTTGTTTTTCTGTCATGGGCTTTTATGTTAGGTTTGCAGTGTTTATTTCAATGCGCCTGGAAAAGTATCCATTTCCGTGAAGGTATTGTGCGTGAAATTTATCAGCATGTTATGTATGTTCGGGAATTGTGTGCAAGGATACCTTGTAAGGAGGATCAACCCACTGTTGTAGGGACATATTTCCCAAGTTGAGCGCATCAGGCTGTCGCAAAACTGGTAGTATACAATGACATTATTTACCGTGTACAGTTCACCTGTCTTTGATTTCCAATATTTCCAATGTGTTTTCGTCGACAGCCTGCTTTTCCGCCCAACGGAACACCATGCTGTTGCAGACTTCAGTTCAACCATATTGTTCCAGAAAATCAAGAACCCGTTCTTAGAAGCAGTGAAGGTCACGCTTGGCGATGCCTATACGGACAATATGGACAACATCTATAAGCTGACCATCGATTTCGTGATCAGCACGGTCGTCGAGGGCTTTGATCGGGCGGAGAGGGCACAGCGCTCGACGTAGATGGCAGCGGCGGCTCTCGTGCTCATGGTGGCCTGCAATGTGGGCAGGCTCGCTAGGTCAAAGGCCGTGGACTCAAGGTCACAGGCGATTTGTGAGCCCGCGGACCTCGCTGACACCACCGACGACCGTAAACATCGTGTACAGCACCGCCGTTGTGATCGGAGACAGCAGTTGCCATGGAACAACATGCCCAAAATGTCGTGAGAACGTTGAAAATGTGTTCACAAGTGAACCTAGGCAGTGATCAGTGAAGTGCGCATGTATGTCAGTGGTGTGCGGTTGCCGCATGCGAGTCGCGTCGTCGGTCGGCATCGGGCTGAAGTGGCGTTTAATGTTCTGGCAGCACGCGGTCAGGCGCCAAAGTCAGCAGCGGTGCGTGTCAGTGAGAGGCACGCTGACATGACCGGTTTCCGTAGTCACCCGTAAAATTACAGTGGATAGGGGTGACTTAAGCTTTTTGAATGAGCTGTTCTGCCTTGTGAAAGGTTACTGCGCACGTAGAAACTGCTGTCAACATGCACAAAAGGGTGTGTCATCGAGGGAGTGAATCTCTTGGAATCATCTGAGACAAAGTTTTTCCTTGGCACACGGATTAATGATAAACGTTCAGTTCTGTCGCACCGCACCAATGTTGATATCCGTGAGGCGATAGCAGTTTTTCTTTGATAGGCCTAGAAAACCGTATTCGATACTAGCGCCACCTATTTTAAACACTGGGATCATCCTCCAACAAGCCTCAAAGCAGCCACTTTCCACACTACTGGTACTTGGTGGATTAAGTATGAAAGAGATATCATGAAGAGCACCAGCAAAGCATTGCCAAACAGCTTTTAAGCTGACCTTTTAGAAAAGAACATAAGTTTTGGTACAGCCCAAAGCTGTGCAGTTATGAGAATGCTCCAGCAGACCGGGTCGGTTTCAAGTTTGTTTTTGCTAACGCATCATTGTAATGTTGATTTGCAATTTATGCGCTTTTTTGCGTGGAAGATGTGGGTTTGTTTAGTTTTACTGGTACTGAAACCTTCCTTTCGAACAATTACTAGCGTAAGCATGCCGACGGCTACATGGTCGCACAAACATCTTGCGATAGGCCACCCGGCTCTACTGTTCCACTACCAACTGCCAACTACGGGAAAGCATTGAGGTACATCAGGTGGCTGAGCGAATCGAAGAGGAATCGCACGAATGCCATCTTCAAGACCGCGACGGTAGAAATCAGGGTACTGTGGGCCAACGAAGCGATCCCTGTTCATGATCTCAAATACGTGACAAAATTGATCGAGAGGGATTGATATCACCCCAACAGAGTTATCAGCAAGAAACCAAAGGAAGAGAGTGACAGCAACGCCGCCACCGCGAAATTCAAGTCTCTTAATGTCGCAAAATGCAAGTGCAAACCTCAGTGCAGCCTTCCATACCCAGTCATCCGCACAGTGTATCAGGAGGGGGTTGCCATGAAGGACCAGTGCAAGCACCGAAAGCTCACCCTGGGGTCATTTGACCGGGATGCGATTGTGACTAGGGAGGCTCGCGTGGTGCGCAGGATGGCCAGACAACTCCAGGGGCGTCGTGGCTCGGATGCCAGTGAGGCGGTGTCTGCTGCTAAACCTGAGTCGCCTTCCCCGCCGACTGCTGGGCCTGCGCCGCGTGCTGAGCCAGTGCTGGCTGCTAGTGCTGACCCCGAGCCTGCTCCGGTACCAAGTGGTCTCAGCGCTGGTGAGTCAGCCGAGAGCACGGATTCCTACCCGGTTCCGTACATGGTAGAAGGTGGCGACGGCGCCGACTGTTCGTTCCGGTTGAGACCACTGTCACTGTAGATCATAACGTCAACGATCTGACTAACCCCGCTTTAACGGTTGACAGCTACGCTGGCTCGAACCGGGCCGCTGCTGCTATCATCAACGCCTTTCAGCAAGACAGCAGAGACGGCCTGGCTACTTGAAGTAAAATATCATAGATCCCAGACATGTGCCTGGTTCCTAGCATTGGTTCCAGGTTCCCAATGGTTCTTTCGACAAAATAAGATGCTGGATCCTGGTTCTCACTGGTTCTTTCCGCAAAACAAGACGCTGGATCCTGGTTCCCACTGGATCTTTTGACAAATAAAGATGCTGGATCTTGGTCTCCACTGGTTCTTTTGATAAAACAAGACCCTGAATCCTGGTTCCCACTGGATCTTTCGACAAAGTAAAACCCTGGATCTTGGCTTCCATTGGTTCTTTGGGCAAAGCAAGACCCTGGATCTTGGTTCTCACTAGTTCTTTCAACAAAACAAGACCCTGGATCCTGGTTCTCACTGGTTCTTTCGACAAAACAGAACCCTAGATCCTGGTCCCCAATGGATCTTTTGACAAAGCATTATGCTGCATCCTGGTTCCCATTGGTTCTTGCACAAAACAACAGCCTGGATCTTGGTTCCCACAGTTTCTTTGACAACACAAGACCTGCATCTTGCTTTCCATCAGTTATTTTGTAACCACTGGCTTCAGCTCCCAGATTCCCTTGTTTTTCTGTCAATACCAGCTCCAGGTTCCCATAAGATCTTTGGCAAGCAACAGAAATACCAACGCGCCATGAATAGTGAACACCATATCTCACAGTTCACGCTAGTATTTTACCAACACTAGACTCCTGAGGTCAGAATATGGAGTACTCTGACAGTCTTGGGACCTTGGAAAAATTGGCCTAAAAAGGTCATCCCACATAACCCAAATACTTCACTTTAAAAAAGCAGATCAGTACATCACAGACAGGTCAAAATAAACAGCGTATCCTGACCCTGTAATAACAATACAGCTCTTCCAGAAGCCTGAGCACAAGGCTCCGGCAGATATAGATTCATTGTGTGCATGATAAAGCAGTATCAATGTGGGACTAACTTTGGTTTGCAGGTGGGCTGGGAAAAATCGGCCTAAAAAGTTCATCCTGCATAACACAAATACTTTGCTCTAAAAAGGCAGATCAGTACATCGCGGACAAGTCAAAATGAACGGTACGTCCTGACTGTAACAACTCTCTGTAACAACTGTACAGCTCTTCCAGAAGCCTGAGCACAAGGCTCAGGCACATATAGATTCACTGTGTGCATGATAAAGCAATATCAATGTGGGACTAAGTTTGGTCTACAGGTGGGCTGGGCATTTGTAAAAAAAATATTGCTGAGCTTCGATAGTAATCTGTGATATTGAGATGGTATTCTGGCATTATATTTACATACCTATATATATATATATATATATATATATATATATATATATATATGTACATGGTTACTTTACGCAACCAAGCAACTTGCTTGCTTCTTGGCAATCCATGTTAAAAGTACCTGTGGCTGAGCCAGAGCTGACTCACATTCTTTAGCTCCTTTGCCTGCTAATGCCGGGCCCTGGTTCCAATAACTTTGACACAACCGCAGACCCTGGTAACATCAAACCGGTTCCTCGTTCTCGCGGGTTTTTCAGGAAGAACACTTACGACTCCTTTGTTTGCCAAATCTCAATACCATTAGTCCCATAAGTTCATTTGCCAGACACACTCCTGCAGAATATGGTGGTAGCTGGTAGATGGACAGAGGGAACATTCTAAGTTATTAACACAATGCATATATTCCGTTAAAATCGGACGCAATTTCATCTCACCTCCCCCATACCCCAGATTTCACACCTCACACCGATCGCACACTGGCAGTGCGTCGCCGTTTCACATTGCCATGGAAACCACGCCAGCTGAGCTTTATCTTCTGAAAAACGCAGTCTTATCAGCTGATCAATATTTGTTCCATACCACGACTAGGTGGCTCTCTATATATAAATATATATATATATATATATATATATATATATATATATATATATATATATATACACATATATTGAATTTGTAGTGTTATTAACATTGAAGAACAGCGAATTTGTTTTAAGGTATGTGAGGAACAGCCTGAGCAGATAACCAGCAATGTTCATGGACTAAATTTTATTAATTTACATTAAGAACAGTATACATTGCTGGACCTGAAAAAGTGGGAAGTGTAGGCAGCAACCACTGTAAAGAAATCCTGGTAAGATTCTGGTTCTTGCCGGCTCCTGAACGTAATTTTAGAATGGATCTTGGTTCTTGCTGAAATTGAATCTCCATCTTAAGCCTGAGCTGGATCTTGGTTCTTGCTGGATCACTATGCATGTTCCAAGCTGGGTCTTGGTTCTTGCTGGATCCCTCAACATAATTCCAAGCTGGATCTTGGTTCTTGTTGGGTCCCCATGTCTGATCCAAGCTAGATATTGGTTCTTTAGGATCTTTCGTCTTCATGTCAAGCTGGATTTTGGTTCTTGTTGGATCTTTTGGCTTATTGTCAAGCTGGATCCTGGTTCTTGCTGGATCTTTCGAATTATTGTGAAGCTGGATCCTGGTTCTTGCTGGATTTTTCGACTTATTCTCAGACTGGTTCCTGGGTTCTTCCTGGTTCCGGAACCAGGAACCAGGAACCGGTTCCCGGGAAGAAATTTTGGGAACCAGGCACAAGTCTGGTAGATCTTAAGACCTGCTGCGCAAGAGATAGAGCAAGAAAGAGGACGGCCCGTTAAAATTTTAAAGCAATCCACGAGTCAGGTTTGACCATCCTCTACCCCGACAGACGCGAAGGCAGGAGCTACATGAGCGACGCGGAGCTAGACAAATGCCGTCCAAAAACACGTGGCTGTCATCGCTGAGCCAGGGAGCCGATACGTGACTCATTTTACGTCCGAGTTCGGCCGCGCCCTGTGCTTGTTCAACGAGTTACACTCCGTGAGCCCGTAGTGCGGTGATCACATCAATGTGCTCGGCTGCGATGGCGCGGCCGTCAACACCGAAACGATAGACGACGCGTTCCGTCTGCTTGAGCTGGCCACCGAGTCACCCGTACACTGGTTTATCTGCCAGCTGAACGGCAACGAGCTGAGCCTCCTTCATCTGCTGCTGAGGCTGGACGGCACGACCACGGAACCGAAATTTTTCTGGGCCCATCGGCAAGACCTGTTCCGGAGAGGTCTGGAAGAGGGACGTTGTGGCATTCAAGCCTAGGTCGGGGCACGTACCAAACCTGCCGGTCGACCTGATTCAGCAGCTGAGCACCAACCATCAGCTGCTGTACCTTCTGGCCTCCGGCGTTTGAAACAGCTCTGTCCAAAACATGGCAGCCCGGTGGCGAATCGGACCATCGAACCATGCCACGTAAATATGAAAACACACTATCTTCGAATTTATAGCAATTAGTGTTTTAAGTTCATCAAGTATCAATTGATATTTCATGTGCTCACTGTTGAGTATTTACTTAACATTATATCTTGTGCCGTAGTATGTCGCATTATTTGCTGGTTGGTTCATGCTCACTAGTATGTTTGTTGATATGTATTCCGTCCATTTAAGGACTTTGGATATCGGCGTAATTACATACACTTAAGAGGCACAGTAATTTTTGTATGATCTGATGCTCAGTTCCTAGCGAATTGTTCTAATATACTCGCTTTTGTTTTCAGATGGTT